AGCCAGGTAAGCCTCTTTTGCTTTATAAAATACCAGCTCCAGGGCAAATGGAGGTGCTGAGAGTGCATTCTGCACAAGCCCCCGAGACACAGTAGGAGAACCCAGCCCTCCCAGAGGGAGTCAGGAAGCTGGGTCAGAGGAGCAGGGGGCAGTGGTACATAAGACCTTGTGGACAGGCACTTAACTCAAGGTTGAGTGGCATGGAGGTGAGAAGATGTGTCAGGGTTCCAGTAAGAGAGTGGTGTGGTCTTCCTCGGGTACTCACTGGGTATCGAGTTGTACATGCCTCACCGTGGAGTCTGCTCTCTAGCATGCATGTGGACCTGGACACAACAGGTCAGATTTGGCTTTTGGCAGTTGTCCGTAGACTTTGTCATTTTAAAAACCTTGTGTAGGTACTGAAACTAAAATGTGTTCAGTGCTTTTCTTTTTACACTGATAAGACTGTACCTCTTTTGTTAATTTAGTAGGTTGCACTGGTTGGTTTCCAAATCCTATCATTACTATGTATAATTATTTTCATATGTTGCTAAGTTCTACTTATAAAATGATTCAATCATATTAATATGGCCATTGACTCATATACTTATCAATTTTGTGGTGAGATCATTCACTACAAGTGAATGATTTTCAAGAGCAATAAGTTATGAACTCTAATGACCGTGCTAAAGGTACATGATTAGCAGGCATTCCTCTTGTCTACTAACGGAAACATTATACCCCTTAACCAGAACTCCCTAACCCCCCCCCCACTTCACCCTTCCAGTCTCTGCCTCTCTGGGTTTGGGTTTTTTAAGATTTCACACTTGAGTGAGTTTGTGCAGTATTTATCCTTCTGTGCCCAGTCTCTGCCTCTCTGAGTCTGAGTTTGGGCTTTTTTTGTTTTTGTGTTTGTTTTGTTTTTTAAGATTTGAGTGAGTTTGTGCAGTGTTTATCCTTTTATGTTTGCTTTGTTTTGCTTTACACGTCTTGTGGGATCTTTGGTGCTAGACCAAATGACATCATTTTTTATGGCAGATTAGTATTCTATTGTGTATCTATGTAATACTTTTCTTATTGACCTATGAGTTGCTGTACACTTACTGACTTCATGTCATGTAAATGGTCCTATAATGAACATGGAGGTCCAGGTGTGTCTGACACATTCCTTTCCTTTATATCTATGCTCAAGTGTGAAATTGCTAGGGCCTATAGTGGTTCAGGTTTTAATTTTTGAAAGAATTTCCATATTGTTTTTCATAATGGTAGAATATTTACCATTTGGGTCCGGAGTTCCTGTTTCCATGTGAATTTTAGTGTCTTGGTGACAGCCACTCTGAAAGGCTTGAGGTAGTATTTAATTGGCATGTCTTTAACTCTTATTTTCCTTATATTGAGAAATGTCTACTGAAGTGCTTGCGAGCTTATTCTTACCTATTTTGTTATAAAATGTACTCTCTATTTAAGACATTCGGCTACATCAGAGATTTGCTTTATAGATATTTTCTCCTGTCTGCTAATTGTTTCCTTCATTGAGCAGAGGCTTTTTAGTTTGATTTACTCCTGTTATCTGTTTTTGCTTTTGTTTTCTGTGCTTTGGGGATCATTTTTTAAAAGATCATTGCCCAAACCAGTGCCACAGAGCTCTTCCTCTAGTGTTTTCTAGTTTCAGATCCTACATTTAAGTCTTCTACCCATTGTTTTTGTATTTATATGTGTGTACATGTATAAGGTAGAACCCAGTGTCACCATTCAGCATGTGGGTACTCAGTTTTCTCAACACTTACTCACAGAGAAACCATGGTCAGTTCCCTGTTGCCAGCATAGGACTAGTTGTTTTTAGTCTACTGTCATTTTTTAAATTACACTATTTGCATTTCATGTAAATACATGTCATTATTGTGATGTCAGGGCTCAAGTTTGTCATTTCATTTTTAGTTTTCTGTTTATTCTTGTATCCGACTTTTAAGGTTTCCTCTTGCCTTTCTTGGAGTTATTAAGCTTTTTCAAAAATTCCATTTTGATTTGTTAATAATTCATGACATCATTTTATCAGTTTGAAGGGGAGGTAGAAAGCTTGCCTTCCTTTACTATTCATGTCAGACAGTACAGTAATTTTTACTTTAGCCACCAGAAATAATTTTAGAAACCAGAGAACAGAGGCCTATGGTATTTACCCTAATTTAAAAGTATTCCTTTTCAAAATTATGACTCTCAGAACGTATTATACAAACTAGTGGCATTCCCTATGGTGAACCCTTAGGGAATGTGTCTGTGTTGATGATGCCCATCTATCCTTCTTTCCACTCACCACATTTTACCTGCTGTGTTGGTTAGCCCCTCCTACTACTGTGGAGGAAACCTCCGGCCCCTGGTCCTGGAGTGGGGCCTCTGACAGCGATTTGGAGTTCCATCTTCTCCTTTCCTGACCTGCAGTTCTTATCTAGCAGCCTTTTCTCAGAGCTTCCATCTCAACCATACTGGCTACAGTCCCTGATGGTTGGGCCACTATCTGCTGTTCCATTCATCTAGACCACTGACTTTGCAGCATACCCCTGTGCCGTCACTGGCATTTTACTTCCACTGTACCCCTTCTTTATATCTTTCATTAATTTAGCAAGAATATTGTTTGTCTACTGAGCCAATATCTTCTCATTGGGCTACAGAGATGGCTCATTAGGTAAGAGTGCTGAGCAAGCATGAGGACCTGAGTTTGAATTTCAGCACCAACCGAAGCTGGGGATGGCCCAGCAAACCTGGCCCTGAGGGAGGTGGATCTCTGGGGCTTGCTAGTCACCTGACCAGCTAATGAACACAAGTTCCAGCAATCCTTCCTCCAAGGAACACGGTAGAGAGTGACAGAGGAGGACACCCAATGGCCTCCATGTGCACAGCACATGCTCACATGTACACATATCATACACACAAAGAATATTCCTGGTTGTTCATAGGAGCACTGTTAGGATGGCTGACTCACAGATGTCAGTTAATATTAATGTCTCTGTCATCTTGGCATTGGTATTGGCCGATTGCCCTTCATGCACTGTGAAATCTCCATAGAATTGGCATGGCAGGTAATTTCTGTTGAAACTTGAACATTTGGGTATTAAGGGCTAAGGCTCTGGCCCTTGGCTTTCCTTGTCCACTAGCTTCTGACTGTGCACTGGTGGGAAGCAAAAGGGTGGAGGTGCAGCTCTGTCCTGGGCTTCTGCAGTCATCCAGGCGTGGAGAAACTCCTTACTGTGGAGCCAGAGTTCTGGCTCCCCCTGTCCCTTCATTATCCCTCTGGCTTTGCAGAACAGCATGGCTCCTTCCTGCTCCCCACAGCCCGCCTCTGCTGCCATTAAGCCAGGACTTGTTGTCCCTGGGGTTTGAGTGCTTCTGTGTTGCCCTGATGAGGGCAGGAGGTGCTCGCTGCTGGGCCCTGCTTTGAGGAGAGTTTGGCTGCACTAGGAGGTAGTGCTTCAGGGTGTAGCCACACTTGCTGCCTCCTACTGACCCTTTGACCGAGAGAGCAGGGCTCAGGATTGGCACTTCTCCAGACCCAGACAGCCTCACCTGTTCCACAAAACAGCTCATCACTCCCAGAGAGCTTTTGTGCCTCCATTCCATGTCTGTCTGTCTGTGTCTTTTTCTAATCTCTGATGCAGAAAGGCACTGGCCCAAGTGACTGATCACTCCTGACAGCCTGGAGCCGAAAGCACCAGGGGCAGGCACTGACCTACTTTCTTCTTTTTTTTTTTTTTTTTTTTTTTTTTGAGCTGGAAACATTTATATAACAGACAGCCACAGGGCCCTGCTGTCCCCATGATGGGTAGGAGATGCCCCAGACTAGCCACATTGTGATCCAATTTATAGCTCTTGCAATTCAACCTTAGCAGAAGCAGGGCTTCCGGTAGGAGGGCTTGGCACACTTATCACAGGGTGTCTGTGAGCATGTTATTTGGTGTCACATCAGTCTCCTGCACCAGGTGCTTTTTTCCTCCTGAGATCCTTCTTTGTGAGCTCTAGCTGGGGTCCAGCATTCCTCAGGGCCTATGCAAATATCTTGGCCAGCAGAACTCATCTGCTATGCTTTTTGCACAGAGCAGCAAGCAGGTACACATAAGACATCACCTTCCACACTGTAATGCTAAGGCGCTACTTTCCTGACCTGCCATCTCTTCACATCCTGGCCATCTCCAGAGCATCTCCTGAGGATGGACAGCTTGTGTCTCTTGCTTCTAGAAACCTTATTGGAGCTACTCCTTGGTGTGTGTGTGCTACCCTAGCCAGCATTTCTGGTATTTTCCTGATGTGGGTGAACCATCCTCTTTTTAGCTTGCTCCCTCAATAAAGTACTGGCCCAGAGCCTTTGGAGAACTCAATGACAAGAGCTACTTAGCAGGAAGGCCTGATCCCAGGTCACCCATGCTGGCACAAAGTCATCATGTTACTTTCCCACAAATACTCTTGTACCTATAATCAATCTATCTTTGTCTGCAGATAGGATGAAGCCTTAATTTACCCCCATAAAGCTAACCATTAGAGGTTGTCAACAGAAAGCCTGTGAATAGCACAGACCAGCACTGTGCAGGGAGAACATCTTTGCTTTCACGGGAGAACAGCAGCCGGAGACTGACTGTACATTGGGGAAGGTTGCTAATAACGGCCTAGAGAGACATACGTGCAGAAGACTTTCTAGATGTGGGCAAAGAGGGACTCTCACGGGGGTGGGTCATGCTCCCCGAGTCTGCTCTCTGATGTGATAGAAAGTAGGAAGAAGAAACACTAGAAGAGGGGACTCACCAGGCTGGGTAGCCTAGCACACTGGCTTTCTCTAGACTTCCTGGCATCTAAGAGAAGCCATGATGGGGCAAACAGAGGGTATGGGACCTATACAGGACCACATGATTAGGACCCAACTCTGGACTTCTCCTATGGTGGTGACAGTGCCACACCCCCTGCCCTGGAGGCTGAATCCCATGGTTCTAGGTGCAGAGGAGCATACCCCTGGTCACAGCTGTGCCTTCTTGTTCTAGGTGACGCCATCTGGGCCCCATCCATCCTTCCTCACGGCACCCTCAGCACCTTAAGCCACCACCCTGAGCTACATTTTGGAGGAAAGATGGAATCTAAGGTCTCAGAAGGTGGCCTGAACGTAACCCTGACCATCCGCCTACTGATGCATGGAAAGGTGATGTGGGGTGGAAAGCAGGGCACCGCTTTGTACTCCTTATTCTACACAATCCCAAAACTACAATGGTATTGCACATGCAGTCCAAATTATACCTTTTTAGAGCTACTCAAGACTGGTTGACCCTACGCCTTTAACTCAGTACCCCGCAGTGCCTGTGTCCTGCAGGTGGGTGCTGTCCTGCATAGCCAGTAGTCCGCCTCCCCACCCAGCAAGACAAGGCTGGTGCTGTGTTTTCTGCTTCTACCCTGAGAAATCTAGCTCCCAGCTTTCCTGCAAGATTTCCTGGCAGGGTTGGCCACAACAGTTCTGGGACATCCAGCTTCCCAGAAAGCATGTCCTTTTGCACCCAGGCATCCCTGTTCTGTGGTGCAGTGTCCTTTCCTTCCCACATGGGATTCTCTACCCATCGGCCCCTAGTTCCTGTGACAGAAGGGCCACAGCTGAGCACACCCTCCTCCTGTTGCCTGAGCCCATGCCACACCTTCCACTTGGACCACAGCACCTCTGGGTTTCTGAGGGCTTGGTTATAGTGAAAAAAGCAGGCCAGACTTTGAAAGAGGGTATTTCCCTTAGCGAGGAGTCAGGCTGGCCCTGCCCCAAGTGACTCACCATGGCAGGGCCTTGCTGAGGCTGTCCTGTGGGCTGGGAACACTGGTTCAGGTGCTCATAACTCCACAGGCATTGAAGTACAACTGCAGAATGGTGTGGACTGGCTGTGCCAGGGGCTTCTCCGAGTGTCCTCCATTGTAAAGCAAGCCCAGCAGTAGAGGGGGTGTTTCCTGTCTATCTATAGCAGGGTTTCCATAAGTGCGTGGTCACTTGCCTCCTGCCAGGAAGTTTGCTGATAAAGCTCAGCTCTGTCCCTGATCAGCCCTGGTCAGCTAGGCACAGAGGAGCTGGACAGCCCAACACAGACAAGTCTCCTTAACTGGAGTTTCGCTCTCGCATGGGGCAGGCATATGGCTCAGTGGGAGAATACCTATCTGGTATACAGAAGGTTCTAGTTCCACCCCAATATTGTAAAAACTACAACCCCTCCCCCCCCCCCATGGTGTCAGACTGGTTTTGAAGCCTCAGCCCCACAGTACTCTATAACATCATCTTTCTTGATTTTTTTTTTTCCCCTACAGGAAGTTGGAAGCATCATTGGGAAGGTAATTATTGAGTGAACTCTGCCTTTCTTGGGGTCTCTATAAGGTAATAGACAGAGATAGCAGTAGCCATTGGTGCTGACTGTCCCCAGCAAGTACACTGTGCTAAGGAAGTCAGGACCCCAAGGAGCTCTGTCCTGGCTGCCCTGTTCACACCCCCTCCTTAGACAACAATACCATGGCTCTTGTTCTTGGCTCCGGGCAAACCATGCAGGGAGCATTCTTCCTGGGTGCTGGCAGGGCCCCAGCTGGTCACTTTCAATCTTGTTACTGGCACTTCTGGGTTTCAGACCCTGGGAAGTGCCTGCTGTATAAACTCCTTTTTATACACCTAAAGCAAAAGATGCTTCCATGGAAAAAGGACCAGTCAGAAGCCTGTGTGAGAGGAATGGCTGGGGGCCAGGCACTGCCCTCCCAGTGTGCAGTGTTTTGGTCATCTCTGGTAACCCTGCACCTGTACAGCAGGGGAGCTTCTAACTGCTCAATATCCCGACTCCTTCCTAACATTTCTTTGGAAAGGGCTTCTCAGGGCAACACTACTCATGAAACACCGTTTGTGCCAGGCTTAACCCCTGCTGGGCATCCCCTGGCAATAGACCCACCCTGGTACCATATTTGTGGTGCTGATTCTGACCAAAGCCTGCCCACAGTGACCAGCCGTGCCACTGCGTGACTATGTCTTCGTTTCTTCATCTGAGCTACCCCTGGATTGTGTGGCCAATGAATAAAGAGACCAGCTAACTCGTGGGGACAGGCAAGGACAGAGCAAACTAGAGGCGGGCAGCACCTCACTGTGCAAGTAGCTTCCAGCACCCAGGGCTGGACTAGGCCAGGCCCATGTCCCCTGTGTGTGGCAGTGACAGACTTCCTTATCTGTGTCTCCATTCCAGAAAGGAGAGACAGTGAAGAAGATGCGGGAAGAGGTGAGTGTGCTTTTCTCTAGTTGTCACTCTGTCCCCAGGTCAGGTTGGCCACGTGGGGATGGCACTGCTCGTGTGTCAGGGATGCAAAGCAAGGAGGAGGGGCAACCAGAGTTCAGCTGCAGAGGGCATAGGTTCTAGGAATTCCATTCTGGTAGGGCATGATGGCATGTGTCTGTAACCTCAGCACCACGAGACAGGCAAAAGAGCAGAAGTTCAGTGCCATTCTCCACTCCACTTGGAGTTCAAGGCCAGCTTGGTTACATGAGCAACAGCAGCAAAATCTTAAAATTCTAATTTGCTGGTGACTTCTGGCAAAGATTTTGCTGTTTTGAATGAGATTTTCAAGCATGTCTCAGCACTAGTGTCTGCAACCCTGGAGAAGCCAGGCCTGCACAGGCCAGCTTTCATCTCCTGCCAGCTGCCTTTCCTCTTGTCTCACCTTAGAGTGGTGCCAGGATCAACATCTCAGAGGGAAACTGCCCGGAGAGAATTGTCACCATCACAGGCCCAACTGATGCCATCTTCAAAGCCTTCGCTATGATAGCATACAAGTTTGAGGAGGTAAGGCAAGGGCCAGCTCCTGCGCCCATTCATCTGTTTGTCTCACTTGGTTGAGGAACTGGCTTGCTTTGTGACAAGGCTACCTTAGAATTCTCTTCACCTTCAATCCCCAGGTGTTCACCCCTGCTTCTGTCCCACGAGTGAGGGTCAGCATCCTTGCTTATAACTAAAGTTGGCCACTTGTGCCATGTGCACAATGGAGAAGCCCACCCCGCGGGTGTTTCCCAGGCACCGCACAGAGCCTCAGCACACAGGCCTCCCACCAGGCACATGGCTGCTCTTGTGTCTCAGGCTGTACTCATGCCTTTGGAGGCCAGCTGCTCTGTCTGCCACATGGCCCCAGCCAAAGCCCTAGCTGCCTCAACTCTGCTCTCAGCTACATACACTGCAGCAACTCTTCTCCCCAGAGAGATTATATAGCTGTGTCTTAGCTGGAGTAGAAGTGTATTTTCATGTTGGGAGATGGATACATACACAGGTATATGTAACACTTATATGTGTTCTTAGTGAGCCACACTTGATGTTTTTCATGTTTCCACTCAATGTTTATTCACATATGATGATTTTATCTATCATAAATGAGAGGTGATGGTCGGATTTTGAGGTGGGCTTTGTGGGTATAAGCAAAGACCCCTCTAAATGAGAGCAAGCAGACTGTATATACAGAGCTTGCTATAACAAGGAATCGGCCTCCATCATTTGTCACTGGGGGGCAGGGGGAGCATCACATAATGGACAGATTTTAGATATGCTCTAAGAATGGCTGTGGGTAGAACTGGAGATGACTGCCTCCCTGGAGCCAGGCTCCCTGACTTAGAATTGGGAGCAAGCCTTAGGGAAACTATGGGTACCTAAGCTTTGACCATCCTGAGTTGAAACCAGAGAAGCTTCTATAGAGGTATGGGCAATTCTCCTGGCACCCATGGCCTGACCATCACTAGTTTGCTGCTGAATTTCTTGTGTGCCCTTGCAAGAGGCTAGCCGATGAGGAAAGGACTTAAGAGCAGGCTTTCATTCTGCAGGGCTCAGCTGCCTTAGTGGGCAGCAATGTTGAAGATCACCTTGACCTTTTTGTTCTGTGTCATGACTATCATGTCCTGGTAGAAAGCACATGGCCACCGCGACAAAAACAAAGCTGTTTACAGTCCCTGAAAGGTGCTTTGAATCCAAGAGCTCTGATGCCCACCCAGGCCAGGAGAGCCACCCCCCAGGACTGTGATGTTCATCATCAGAGATCTGATAGGTCCTTTCTTGAGATGATGCATAGCTGCTCTTTGGTCCCAGAGTAACAGAATGTAGTCACAACAGCACAGATGCTCCCATGACCAGCCTGCAGAACTTTAGAGCAAGTTGCCATCTAGTGCTGCTTATGCCAATGGGTGGGGACAGTCCACCAAACATCTAGAGTTCAGATGCCATTAGTCACTTCTGCCAGAAGCAGTTAAGGACTCAGTCTTTTCTCCTACAGTGCCTGTCACGGGGTCGGGGGGGGGGGCTCTGCTCTGGTCATTCTCTGGGCAGTGGGCTGGTAACTAGCATAAAAGTGCTGAGTGATAGGTGGCCTTGCTGTGATGTATCTGACATGAGGGTTTGAAGAGTTAAGGGTCCATATCCAGACAAGTCTCAGGGTCCTTTCCTGCAGTGCCTGAGACCCAGTCAGACAAATGGGACCAGATGTCTGCCAGAGGCACCAGGAAGCCAGGAAAGAGTAGCTGCTCAGACAGGTCTGGATGAGGCTCCATTGGCAGCAGCATGATTTGGAACTGTAGAAGGAAGACAAACTAGCCAAGGTATTAATGACCATGTAGGGCCTGATGTCTGGAACACCATTGCTGTAGTTCCCTAGGTCTCACTGGAATGAAACCAGACTCACCAGTTTTATTCTACACTCTTGGAATTGTGGTAGCCTGACTAGAGTGAGGGTTACAGCTCCAGTTTGGGGTAATCTAAGAATGGTGTTAGAGTAAGTATTTCTATCCTGTTTTAGAGATGAGGGAGGAATGCATATCATGAGTGGATGACAATCAGGGGCTAATTTGAAAATGAGAAGAGGAGTAGTACACTGATCAGTTTTCTATCAGTGTGAGAGACCTGAGCAATCCACTTATAAAGCAAAATGCTTTGTGCTACAGTCCTAGGGTTTGTAGCCTATGGTGAGGCAGGTCTGCTGCTTTTCAGCTTCTGGTGGTAGTGGACCATATGTTATGGTAGGAGCACATGGCATAGAAAAACCATCCACCTTGTGGCCAGGATCCCACAATGCCCTGTGACAGCATACCCCTGATGAGCTAAAGTCTCCACAAGGCCCATCTTAGGTACCTACCTCCTCCTAATAGAGTCAGCTGAGGACTAGGCCCCTAACACATGGGCATTTGAAGGATATCACCAGCAAAGTTTCACTCAAGATATAATGGCACAGTGTAAACATTCCCATTGTAACCATTCCAGAAGGAAGGCATTGGTGGGAAATCGGGAATTGAACCAAAGGGTATATGTGTGCATGCGCACACACATAAAGCCACCCAGCAGGGCAAGCATTAAATCCTGTAGATGTATGCTTGGCATCCAAGGGTTACTGTGGTAGGGCATGAATAGCAAAATACTAGAACTGTGTCCTAGTTGGTGGCGGTGGAGGTTTTTTGTTGTTGCTGTTTTTTTATTTTTTTCCTTTTCTATTTTTGTCAAAGTCATTTGGAAAGTGGGAACCTCAACTAAGAAAAATGCCTCTATCAGATTGGCCTGTAGGCAAGTCTGTAAGGGTATTTTCTTGATTTGATGGATGGGTCCAGATCATTGTGGGTGGTGCTATCCTTGGGCTGGTGGCCCTGAGTTGTATAAGAAAGCGGGCTGAGCAAACCATGAGAAGCAAGCCAGTAAAGGAAGCAGCATCCTCCGTGGCCTCTGCTTCAGCTCCTGCCTCCAGATTCCTGCCTTGAGCACCTTCAGTGATAGAGTGTGACCTGAGAATTAGAAGCTGGAGCAAACATTGCCTCCCCAAGTTACTTGTGGTCTTGGTGTTTATCACAGCAATAGAAAGGTAACTAAGGCAGACCATAACCCTACTACATACTGCCTGGCTACCAGACTTTCCTTTAGAGCTCTTTCATGTTTCCTGCCTACAGAACCAGCCACAGAGATAACAGACCCCAATGACCGCTGCCAGCATGGGCAGTGTGTAGCCCCCTCATGATGCCATTTGGGGTACTCAGGATTCCTTTGCTTTAGCTAGGATGAGATCACAGGTAGGCAGGAAGCTTCAGATGCTGGCCTCCAGCAGTGAGCAGAGGCAGCAGTCAGGTAGAAACAGAAACAAGTGGCTAGCTCTAGTGTCACAGTCATCCTGTGATGGGCCACAGGTGTTGGGGACGTGTCCCCATGTCAGCTTTGAGTATCAGGACCTTTGCCTGTCAGTGTTACAGTTCTCAGCCTGGGGTCTGAGGTCCCATGGTCCTGAAGACTTGACAGTTCTCTGGGAGTCTTTTGATAACTGATACCGGCAGGTTCTCTTCTCTCGCTACCCACTCTCCCCGTCCCTATCTGCTCATTTATACTTCCTGTCTTCTTCCTTCCCTGGTCATCCTCAAACTTCAGCTGCTTTTTTAGTTATCAGTGGCCACTGCTAAGACTTGGGGTACACTGGGACAGTATTCAGGAGCCAGGATGCAGCTGCAGCACCTGTTGCTGCTCTGGAACCAGAACATTTGGAGGGCTGTGCAGGAACTGGGCTCTGGGTGCAGTCAGGATCACTTAGGCATAGGCAACCCTTCCTCATAGGGAACGGAAAAGTAACTAAGGTTGTGAGCAGATGTGGTCCTCAGATAGCAAGGTGCTAGCTACTCTGATGCTGCTGGGCAGATTCAAGCCAGTGGGTGCTGCCTGTAGGTGAGTCCCAGGCCTCTGCTGCTTGCACTGCTGCACAGTGGTTGCAGGCATTTAGCGCTGAGAAACCAGCACCCAGGGCTCAGGAACCAGGTGCCTGTCACAAATAGGGCTGTTTTGGATCTTAGCATTGAAGAGTATTGTGTCTGAGGGCAGCACTACACTGTGTCATTTTCATATGTCATTCATGGCATTTAAAGTTATCGAGTTGCTGAGTGGTACAAATTATGCCTGTGAGATTGGGTTTGTGTGGAGCTTCTCCAGCCACAAAGCTGCAGGCCAAGCTGTGCCCATTGCCATGCTTGCCATTACCACCATACTCTACTGTGTTTGCTGCTTTCTCCTTTGTATTAATAGCTTAGCCTGCACAGCTGAGAGTAGGCAAGGGATGACTAGTGGTGAGAAGTCTTTACTGGACCTGCCCGTTCCGGCACCAGGAGCAGCCCAGGAGACTCCCTGCTGAGTCCCTGAGTAAACCTGAGCTGTCTGCTTAAGAGTCTGAAAGGGGATGTTTGGACCATTCACGATCTTTGGTCCAAAACAAATTGCTGTGATTAGCCAATCACAGTTCTTAACGTTCATATTTGGAACTAATCACAGCATTACTAGTAATGATAGTAGAATTTTACCTCCGCAGGGAGAGCGCACCCCCTCGGGCCAAGTTACAAGGGGTTTCTCAGGACTAGTGATCATAAAAGGTCGTCTACAGCTATTCAAACAACCCTGGCTAAGGCTCCTCCTTCAGGAGCCAGGGCAATCGGCTGTAGTCTCTTGCATCAGTCTCAAGTGTCTATGAGTGTTTGGATGACTGATGTAGGTATAAGGGTAGCTAGCTGTTTGACTGATGGTCCTTTTTGCTCAAGGTAGCTTAGATAGCAAGAGAAAAGTTCAATAGCTCCTAATTATGGAACCAAAATTTCATATCCTTAGTAATAGACATTAAAAACAATGCTTACAATAAACTTGTAGAACTTGTCATTAATACTAGCAGTAATTAAAAAGTAGTTTAGAAGATGCTTTAAACGTGCCCTGTATCTGGGGATATTGATTCACATTTATTTATTTATTTAATTAATTACTTATTTATTGTTACTTGAACACAATTTCGTGACCTCTACTTACCCTCTGCCCTGGAAAGTGAGACAAATTTGCACTTGTACACCTCTGAGCCTATGATGACAGTGGCCATGCTATTTGTTACATGTCTTCCAGGCATCTGCTGATTCAAAGAACTTGGCTTCAATTTCGTGGCAGTTAAATCTATCTAGCCACTGTCACCCTTTGCTGTGCCTTTGAACATGCTCCTTCCTGGAAAAAAATGGAGATTTTTTTCAAATCCTCTTATTGTTGTTTTTGCTTTCATCTCTTTTGTACTAGGAAATTAAGCCTGGCAAGCACTGAGTTGCACCTAGCCCTGCTCTTTATTTTTACTCCTGGTTCCAATCATGTTCAAGCTCCATCTCAGTCATTCTGTGCCATTTCTAGACTGGTTCCTCAAACTCCTGTCATAAAATTGTTCTAAAGCCTCTGTTGCATTATTAAGGTAGTCCAGCAATATCCCCACTCCTCAAAACCTACGTTTGCAAGTCAGTTTCCCATTACAGTCATAACTACTGAAGATAAGCCAACTCATAAAGAAAAGGCTTATTCTGGCCCATAGACTTAGAGGATTCACACCACAATTTAGTGTAACCATTGCTTTTAGGACCCAGGTTGTTGGAGTTTCAGCATAACATGGCAAGAACTTATGATATAGCAAAACCATTCACCCCATAACCAAGATACAAATAAGAGATAGACACACCCTCAAAACTAAAGCCGCCCGCTAAGCCCCACCTCCTGGAGTTCCATTGCCTCCTATTTTACTTTACTTGTCACTGTGGTAAAATATCTGACAGGAAGGGTTATTTTGGCTTATAGGTCAAGAGCACTGTCCATCATGACAGGGGAGGCAGGGAGCAGGAACAGGAGGCATCTAGTCAGTACAACTACAGTCAAAGAAGAAATGGATGCTGCTATTACAGCCACATTCTCCTTTTTATTCAGTCTGGGACTCTAGGCCATGGTGACACTCACATTGAAATAGAGTGAATCTTTTCAAGTTAATCTAGACACCTCCTCACAGACACACCTAGAGTTGTGCCCCAGGTGATTCTAGATCCTGTCAAATTGACCATCAAAATTTACCCTCATGTCTCCCAAAAGCAACAAGTGTTTAACACCTGGACCTCTGGAGGATGTCCCAGATGGAAACCACAGCAGATGAATTAGATAAGGATGTTGGAATGCCATCTCGGGAGGTGACAGTTCACCATTCACAGTTCCTAGATTACAGTGCTTGTCTGTTTAGCTCTCTATTGCTGATCCTAGAGAATCTCTGAGGTCTTCTGGAATGACTTTACTATATGGAAAACTCTGTGGAGTTTCATCACTGCATTTTTGTTAAGCGTCTGAGATGGTCCTTTCTATGAGGCTCCAGAGCTGCTCTTCTTGAGGAGACAGCTCCTCCTGGTGGATGATTTTTAAGAGGTGCCTGGGAAGCAGCCTCAGGCTGGAGGTGATAGACAGGGCAGCCTGAGTCCTCTCATAATAAGTTGTCACCTTTGCCTGTAGCAGGACAAGTGTACTGTCAACATGGAATCCCTAAACTCAGACTGACCAATCACAGGAAAAAAATATCTGTAAGTAGAAGGCAGTGTGGTCACAGAATTGGTTTATTTGTCTTGGGCCTAAGGCTCTCAGGACATCCTGGAAACTTGGTTTTGTTCTATGCCAAGGATCAAGCTGAGAACCTCATACATTCTAAGTACATGCTGTCACTGAACTACACTCCAAGCTCTGAAGTGCTGGGAATTTTAATTACCACTGATCCCTCCAGCTTCCCAGAACACTGTGGTAATGAGGCAGTGTCAGTAATGGGTAACTACCTCCAGGGTTCTTAAGTTTTGGCTCCTGTAAAGCATGTGCCCTGCCATTTGGTATAAAACTTGGTATGTTCCCAAACTAAATAAAGCCAAGCCATTTTTAGCAACTGCAGAACACCCTCAATCCAGGAGACAGGAAACCATATATAAACCCCACTGGGAGTGGTTCAGAAGGCTTGAGCCAAGTCTTACCTTCTCGTTTCTTCCATTCTTGTTTTGATAAAAATGCCCCAACTCTACCATAGATGGCAACCAAAGAAAAGCTTAATACCAAGAGGGTGGTTCTAGATGCAGAGCAGCAGGTACAGAGGCCTCTGGGTCTTCTGCCTTGATAGAGGCTGGGTCCAGGACAGGGGGAAACGGAGAGAGATAAACAAGCTGCCCAAATGGAGCAGCTGAATCGGTGTGTGCAGCCCTAATAGGGCAAGGGTTAGCCACTGTCCCCGGTGCAACAGATGACGTCTGTGTAGGAGCAATAGCTCAGTCATAGCAAGCTTCCCTGGTGATCATCCAGGAAAAAGGAGGGTTTGTTTTTGTTTTGGGGTAATTGGGAATTAGAAGTGGAGATGGACATGAGGAAGACATGAGGCCAAGTTCTGGCCAGGTAGCCCTACACTCCAGAGGTTTGGGTGTGGCTCTCCAGGATGGTGGTGTATGTTGGTCTTAGCTTCTTTCCCCTAAATTGGGCTGCCTCTTCCATAACCAAGTTCCCTGATGCATAGGATACTCTGGGTTTCTGTGGAAACAGGCTTTGGACTCACTAATTTCATCTGACCAGCTTGTAACACCCCCTTGGGAATGCCCTTCCAGGCAAGTCTACGTCACACATCTGTCTATCAAAGTCCTCATACCCAATAGATTTTTCATGCTGAGGTCAGATCTGAGCATGTATCTTCTTGATATATACCCTGTCCTGAGTGACTCACTGGCCACCCAGCCCTGTAAATCCATGTGTGTAGTTGGCACATGTGGCCATCTGGCCCATATCTCCTGTTCCTTCTAAGACTGGCCTGGCTCTGAAGGTTCCATGGTTGCCAAGCCCACTTTCTGAGTCCCTTCTGTATGTGGAGGGCTCCTTGAGTTACAGTGAAGCAGGTAAGGGCAGAGATGCTACACACATGTCCTCACAGTGTGCTCACCAGTGTGCCACACTGCTGTACTCACTGGTATGAATCTAACATGCCTGTTTTCTCCTCCCTAGGACATCATTAATTCCATGAGCAACAGCCCTGCCACCAGCAAGCCCCCAGTGACATTGCGACTAGTAGTCCCTGCCAGCCAGTGCGGGTCCCTGATTGGGAAAGGTGGCTCTAAGATCAAGGAAATCCGGGAGGTACTGCCTATCCTTATTACATGTCTCCCACACAGCATAGTGTATGTGCTGATACACAGGGCCTGATGGCTCAAAGCTGGTGTGCAAACATACAGACAATCCAGTTCACCTGTGGAAAATAGGATGTGGGAAACCTTGCCACATTCACACATGCACACAGTGACCTGTCCCAGGAGTAGCCCTACCCTGCCAAGGATGGGGATGGAGGTCATTGGACAAGCAGGTTTTAGCATCCAAGTTCTCTCTGGCTCTGGGTACACTCTGCCTGAGAGATGCCCTTTTGTCCATCTCCATCAGGTCCTACATCCTGGGATGACAGTAATGGAGTCTGAACCTGATGTGGTTTTGACATTGAAACGTTACTTTAGGGAAGGCCAAGTCCTTCTCAATCGTGCTCTCTCTCTCTCTCTCCCTCTCCCTCTCCCTCTCCCTCTCCCTCTCTGACAGGGTTTCTCTGTGTAACAACCCTGGGTGTTCTGTAACTATCTGTAGACCAGGCTGACCTCAGATTCAGATGATCCTAGCTTTGCCTCCCAAGTGCTGGGATTAAAGTTGTGCACCACCCTACCTGGTCCAAGCCCCTCTCTTAAGCAGGAGGGGGCTGGCCACCCCTTCTTGATTCCTTTCTGCTCTCTTCTGTGACTTAGAAGATGCCAGGTTCACCATGTGTGTGACTCCCTAACATCGTCACTAAGGTTTGTCCTCGCTTACCCTGAGGATTAAATAGTTACTTGAGGTGTGGTGACCAGACATCAAGAGCAGGCAGGTCCCAGTTTCCTGGCCTGAATGTGACCTACTTCAATGGAGGAAGAATTCTTGGTGTTGGAAAGAACACTCCCTCCAGCACACTGGCTGAGATGGTGGCACTTTTCCAGGAAGTCATAGCTCCCTAAGAGGTGTGGCGAGGCAGGATCAAAGGAGAGAGGGCAGGAAAATGACATCCAGATGGTAAGGTGTGGGAAGGCACTGTGACAGCTAAGGCCCTGTGTCTAAGGATTGAGTTTCATGATGCAGACCACCCTGGATGCATACCCAAGAGTTGGAGGTGCTGCTCCTCCTGTATGTGTTCTGCCCACAATCTGCTGTTCTCCTTCCAATGGCCCTTCTCTGCAGTCCACAGGTGCTCAGGTCCAGGTGGCAGGTGACATGCTGCCCAACTCCACAGAGCGGGCAGTGACTATCTCAGGGACCCCAGATGCCATCATCCAGTGTGTGAAGCAGATCTGTGTGGTCATGCTAGAGGTACAGTATGAATATCATGGGCCAACGCATGCCACCGCTGGCCTTGCTCAGTGCCGAGCTCACTCTCCATGTGACTTTCTAACTTTGTCACTAAGGCTTCTGTGCCTCAGTTGACCTGAGGGTTCATGTAGTCGCTTGGGGTACCAGGGCTTAGGGGATCAGACATCAAGAACAGGCAGATTGCGGGCGTGAGCATAAGGAATATCCTACAAAGTGTCACCTGGTGGTAGCCTGTGGCCATTGTCTGGATATGAGTGGGAGAGCAGGGGTGGGGGCAGATCATGAGGTGTCAGCCTTGGAAGTGGTAACCACTCTGACCAGACAGAGGCGGAGTGGTGAAGGGTGAGGAAGTCTCCTGCCGTCAGGTCATCCAGCACAGCAGGCCTATAGGTCTGCATACTTCCAAAGAACTACTATCCTATGCTCAGGGTACGACTTGTACAGACCCAGGAAAACACAATTGAAGAGAAAGATGTATGGACAGAGACAGAAGAAAGAGGAGCCATCGGACAGCAGCAGCCTCTTAAGTTCGTTCTGATCGTTGGTGGAGCAGGATTCACAGCAGTTCCTACACTGTGGTCCTCCCTCAGGCTGCTTCCGTGACCCCTTCCCCAAACAGCACCTTTCACCGTGTGGAGCACTGCTGACCTCCGCCCTCCCACAGCCCGAGCTAAGACCATTATCACTTCTCCACAAAACCAGCTCCATTAACCAGCCGCTGTGTCATCTGCTCTGTGTAATCGACATCATGGTCAGACCTCACATTCAACTCTTTACAAATGTTGGTGTAGTTTTATTTCCCTAAGGAATATTTTCTGAAGTTTAAAGATAGTTTTCAAAGGGTTATACTCATGCAGTTTTCCCCTGCACACTGGTCAGGGTGATAGGATGGCCCAATCACAGGAGACCAGAGGCTGAGGGTCATGACTAAGGACTTGCAGCTCTCTGTACTGTCTTCTGCCCTAAGCAGCGAGAAACACATGCTGAGCTCAGTGGCAGTGAGTGATGACAGTGGTTTTGTAGTGGGCATCATGGCCAGCTGCTCAGGACGGCACGAGTCCTTGTCAGAGGTCCCTAGAAGACTTCCAGCTAGAGAGTGGGGCCAATGGCTTGGGGCTGTTGTGTGAGAGAAACCATGCCCACACATGCAAGTTGTGGATGTCAGCAACAGAGGCTGACCTAAAAGGGACAAACCTACTCTCCTTTGCATGACACAGTTTGAAAGGAATGGCCCCCTCACCAGACAGGAAGACATTACAGCGAAAACAACCTCATTTCTACCTGAAGAAAAGGCAGAAGATGGAGCCCAGGCCCTACTTGTCAATCAAAGGCCTTTTAAGCTTGCTTAAGGGGTACCCTTTGTAACCCCCAGTCACAAAAAGCAGTGCCCACAACTGATGTACTTGGGTGAAGGCTGCAAAGAAAGCAAGTGTTGCCTTCATGAACCTTGTGCCTCACAACTCTGGTGCCTCCTGCTCTCATGAGAACAGCCTGCGTACCTTGCCTATCTGGGGATGTTAATGGTCTTAGCCCAGAAGGTCACTTTTCGATGGGCACGGGGAGTGCCTATGTTGGGAGGGAAGGACCCTGGAGCACAGGTGATGACGATGCCAGGATCTGGAGTACTTGGCAGAAACAATGTAGCCGCTACACTCTGTACTGAACCAGTGGGAGCTCTTGGCATAATCTTGTACCACAGACCTGGGGTCTGTCTGGGAAGCCTCGGCAAGCCAGGTTTGCACAGAGGCTCTTGGGGAACTTTTCAGGCCCCCAGCAATGGGGAATATGAGCACTCCCATTACTGTCAGATCCAGGGTAAGGAATATTCCAAGGCCACACACCCTCAGATGCTATAGCCATTGTCCTTGCAGGGATGGCCTGTAGGGTAGATATTTGTCACCTGCTAAAGGCAATGGCCACATTGCTAAGAGGAGACACCTATTCTGGATACAATGGTATTCAAGGAAAATTCCACTGACTTCGTCATTGTAGAATCTCATTTGGCCTCTGCGAGCCACCTAATTTTTTACTGGTAACATGGAATGAATGAACCTAAGCTGCTCTAATGATCACTGCTATAGGAGAGGCAGAGAACTTGGGTTGCTAGACATCATTCCCAATGCCAGTGGTGTGCTCAAGGTTGGCTTTTTCCAGGGACTCAAAGTTTATCAAAGGATGCAAGCGGCTCCTCCGTGAAGTCACTGCTGTTATCTACTGTCAGATCCCCATGGGGACTGTACCGGAAGGAAAGGTCGGCAGCAGAGAGAGTAGCCTAGCCCGTGGGGGTCAGCTGCTAGCAGTCCCTTTTCCAGCGAGCAGGTGGTCCACCTACCATGGCATGCCTATGGAGCCCTGCTCCTGCCCAGCTAGCTGTGGGTTCTGTTGAGGACAAGTGGCAAGTGCAGGCCGGGAAAAGGAAGGAAGCAATGAAGATGTAAAATGCAGCCTGCCTCAGTGTGCTGAGGGCAGGGTCATCTCCTTTTGATGTCCCCTCCCCTCACCGTTGTGGCCTGTGGAGCCATATCTAAAAGGCTGGGGGTGGAAGGGTGGGCATGGGAAGGCAGCCCAAGGCCAACAGCAAAGCTGTTCTAACCGCTCTCTCCCTCTCCTGTCCCTTTTCCTAGTCCCCACCGAAAGGTGCCACCATTCCCTACCGCCCAAAGCCCGCCTCCACCCCTGTCATTTTTGCAGGTGGTCAGGTAAGAGCCGACCCGCTCGCGGCCTCCACTGCCAACCTCAGCCTTTTACTGCAGCAACCGCCGCTGCCCGTTAGTGCACTCAGGTTTTCTCGCCTTCTCACGTGCACGTCTCCCACCCTGCGACGGACACCGAGCTCTCTGGCTCACACCAGGCAGTGGGTGGGGCCCTGGGAAGACACAACTGCTGCTCACAGCTACATCCATAGGCACATTTCCCTGATCCCTGACTGAGACCTACAGACTGATGCCAATTTAGGTGCTGCCTAACAATGCCTGTCAAACCTCTGTGGATGTTTCTGGACAGCTTAGGTAGTTAATATGCAAAAAAAATTCTGGGTAACCATGACTTGTGTTTGAATCCTCTAGAGCTGTGGGAACCAGGGTTCCATTTTCCTGAAGTACATATATTCAGGGAGTGGCAGGCACATCCCTGTGAGGAGATGAGTGACCTCAGGCTAGCCCATGTTCCTCTATGACTGGGATCCCCTTGTCTGCCTGAGTAGACACCCTTACAGGCAAAGAGCTCACATTTACAAACCCATCCTTAAGGATTTGTGGCTGGCATCCGTTTCCTAGAGAAGGGGGATGGAAGGGAGAATGGAGGACAGCTTATGTCTATAAGGGATGCTGGCCAGGAAGGGAGACAGACTGGAGAAGGCCCTGTTATGGTTTCCGTACATGCTCCAAAACTCAGATGCCCACCCACCTTAGGTCCATGAGACCCATCCACATAGATGATTTGAACACAGACAGCCAGGGGTCCGCCCAGAAGAGCTCTGTGTCCTGTCGGCCGCGATGTGTGTCTTTGTTCAAGGGAGAATTAAGTCAGAGACCCCCCCATAGGTGACCCAGCTGGCAGAATAGACATAAGGTTTTACTTTAGTATTCAAAAAGAAAAAGTCATCAAAAACCTTTTTCTCATCATTCTCCATATTATTAAAAGAGTCTAACTATATCTTTCTGAGAAACAATAGCAGCATGTGTGGGTCAGACCTGTTGCCTCCATCTCCCTCCCTACTCCCCTATTTTACACATGTGCATAAAAGTGTGTATATGCATGCATGACTGTGCACACACACATAGTCTCCTGACTCAGCTCTGCCCCATTGGTGGCAGAGAGCCCTGTACTCTGATACAGACCAGCACATGACACACCCCACGGTACAGCAGGTACCAGTCTCATAGCCACTGAGGCTCAGGGCAGTACATTGGACCATGCTGATATCAGAGATACGGTCACACAGCCCAATTGCCAAGCCCATCAAAGCTCTGTCTCCATTGTTCTTCCCAAATTCATTGCTAGCTGACAGGTCAGCAACCAGTGTGAACTATCTCTCTGTTAAATCCACAGTAGCCCCATAGAATGAGATATGGAATTGTATTCTGAAGGCCCCTATTCAAATGAATGTCAGTTCTATAAAACAACATGGCATATAGAGTCACAGCCCTAATTCCAAGAGCAGAACCACTACAGGAGGGATCATGGCCAGGGTCACTGTCAATAGTACTCCCTATTCCAGTCACTACAGTGAAGGTTATCCCCAGAGTGTTAGCCTTTTAAAGCCCACCACCATTTCCTTGGGACTGTGTGGTCTGACCTTGATTGTCTTGGCTATACACAGAGGACAGACTCATATGGGAGTCATCCTGCCAGGAGGCAGTCTAGTAGGACTGCCCAAATACAAACTCAGAAGTGAAGATATAAATTAGATCTGGGTAGGGCCCCTCCAGAATCCCACTCCCATGTCTCTAAGACATGGGATAGACTCAGAGGAGGCTGCCTAAGTGTCTGGCACTTTAGGTGGGGGCAGATGACTTGGAAGCCACTGTTACATACTGGCCAAGCTGAGGACTCCCCAGGTAGGACATACTGAAACATGTGACAACCACATAAAGCAGTTAGACACTAGCCCGGAATCAGCAATTACCATGGCTGAGCTTCTGGGTTCAACTCAGACATACAAGGCCGGGAGAACAGTGGTCCTGGCCAGGATGATAGCATGTCCTTTCCTCGAGTGATGCTCCCTCTGATACCACCTGGGAGATCATTTCCTGCACCCGTTTTCTAAGAGCCAGGGCTGTCCCAGCCCCATCCTTTACAGAGCAGTGACCTGTCTCTTTCTCCATGGAGCTGCTGCATCATATAAAGTTATTTTTCTCCCTCTGCTAACACAGCCAGGCCATCCTAGCACAGAGTTCCCTTTTTTGGCTGGAACTGTGTCTATTTCAAAGCTGCCCTATGGCTGGGTCCCTGTTAGGTGGTCACGTGGCTTTGAGCTCCTGAGTTTGGTTGTGACAAGACCTCTTAGCACATTTTTTTTTTTTTTATTGTGGGAGGGTCTGGGACATGGAAGTGACTGACACATGATCCCCTGAGGTAACTCTCTCAGAAGCCCAGAGACCTCAAGGGTGGTCACAGGTCTAGACCAGCCAGGTGATAGAAGCCATGTCCTTATGTCTGTGCCTCCACCAGGATGGTGTAATACTGCCCAAAGCCAGACAGTTGTCTGTCGTCTTGCCCTCCCTTGACTGTGTTGTCTGCTTGTTGTCTGAGGGGACTGTTGAGGGCTCTGCTGTCCCTGGGGTTCAGGGCGAGGCTGGGTGGTTGCTGTGCTTGGCTCAAGGGAAATAATGATGCTAAATGAGCCTTGGGGAGACCACACTGGCCTCAGACAAGGGTGTTCCCTATTTGAAGAGACTCTACGTAAAATTTGGTAATAAAAACAAATTAGGTCAGTCCTATGACGGATTTAGACCGGTTTGTTAGTACAGCTTTGGCAAAGCCTGTTCTGGGCACTTTTAAAACTTTTGTTTTCATTTGATTATCTTGGGGGCTAAACCTGGCCCGAGTATTTGCTCCAATGGCTGATTATCAGTTGCCCTCTTCCTGGGGGATTAAGTGGGTAATCTGTAGGTTTATAATGTTAAGGAAGTTTGAAGAAATCAGGGTTTCAAACAGTACCTGGCCACAGCTCAGGGAGGGGGCAGTTTCACAGGATTTATCAGTTATAATTGAGGACCTCCTAAGCCCCCTGGATCTTAATCAAGCAAGGAGGAGTGGAGATGTACATTGATGGAGAACACTGTCCCCAGAAGGTTTTTATACTAGGGCGGGTCACCAGTGGCTGACAAGCTGAGGTTCTGCCACATCCCAAGCTGACTGTCTCTCTCTCTCTCACTCTTTTCTCCAGGCCTACACAATCCAGGGACAGTACGCCATCCCCCACCCAGATGTGAGTTTTCACTCTCTCTCTCTCTCTTCTAGCCTTCTCTTCATTATTGTGTACCTTCCTGCATGTTGCTATCAATTGCTACTAATATTAATATTACACAATAATATTAATCCATTTTCTCTGTGTCTCTGACGTCTGTTGTATCCATATGACCTTGGATATCTTTTTAACCTCTTAGCACTAATTCTTGCTTGTGTTGAGGACTTGGCCTGATGTCAAATTGCTGCAGTCTAGGGCTCCCCCCCCCACATACACACATCTTACCCACCTCCACAATATGGGTGCTACATGCTCACCTGCCTGGCAGAGTGTAGCTTAGTATCTGTGGCCAGGACCGGCAAGGCACTTATTACACACGAACTTGAGTCAGGTGACATTATCAAAACTATTCTGTGAAGGTGCCATTAAATATACCTGAGCAAGGCACACTTGCTCTTTCAAGAGCCCAAAATGGAAGCATGGAGTTTACCCATTTACCAGGCCTAAGTGCTGAGAGCCAGAAAAAAAAAAAAAAAAAAAAAAGGCTTTCACTTCTTCAATAGTTAGTAAGATGCCAAATGTGGAAATGGATTCCTGGGCTTGAACCCACACCTTTCTAGCTAGATCTATCACCTGTTCTTTGGCCTAGGTCTGTTCATGGCAGTGTGGATATATGGTCTGTATTTGGAGGATTAAAAATTTCCTGAGGAAGCCTGTGGGGGACAGAGGGAGAGTCCTGGTCTGCCCCTTGACTCACCTCCAATGGACAGCTGAGTATAAAAGGGAAAACAGGAGCCACTTGGAGTGATGGCGACACTGAGCTTGTAGGGACCAAGAGATGATGGGCAGCAGCCATGAGAGAAGCTCACTCCTTAGGGGCTTTAGAGATGCTGGTGGGTGGGGCTATTCTAGGAGATGCTGGGGAAGATGGGGAGAAAGCAGGAGAAAGGTGTCCAGCTTCAGCATTGGCAGTTGAACCTAGGACCTCAAGCCTGCTAGTCAAGTATTCTACCACATACCTGTATTTCCAACCTAAGCCACCTCCTCTTAACCTGGTGTGAACATTTGCTAGGTTTAGCAGCTCACCTAGGATATGCCCATGTGTACACTGCTCAGTGCCCTGAGACACGCTAGACTGGCCAGGGAACTAGTCATGCTGTAACTCTTACTCAGACCTTGGCTTTTGGGTGGGACAGGAACAAGATGTGTATCAGGGAAAGATTTTCAGGCAGGGCACGGCGGGGGGGGGGGGGGTCTTAAGAATTAACTAACACTAAATAAGTATCTGAAAAATGGATTCACTGTTGTTGCATGGTGATTTCCTGTAGAGAAAACACAAGCAGCCTTTCTCTCTCTCTCTCTTTGATAAAGCAACACACAAACAATAGATAAAACACAGGATGAAAATCCCTGTCTGGGTAGTATAACCATACTCACGAGGCCATGTTTGGTGGTTACAGCTTGGCTGTAACTGCTGTGTCTGAATTCATAGTCTCTCGCTCTCTGATCATCACGGCAGATGTGCCCTTGGCTGCTTAGACTGAGGCTGTGGGCCTCCAGGCACCTACTAGCACATTCACCCCAAGCAAACTATACCCCCATGGCTCTGTTCATCCTGTCCTCAGTGGCTGATGCCAAGTGGAAGTACAGCCTATGAACGCATTACACACAAGGGTGACCCTTGTGGGTGGATGGTAGAACTGAGTGAAGGCAACCAAAGAGGGCCAGGAAATAACTTCCAGGATGGCCCAGTCTTCTTGTGGTGCTGGGGGTGGGCATCTCCACCCATGGAGAAATATGCATGTGCTAATGTAGGCCTGAAAACTAGGTTGTGGGATTCAGTGAAGCTCTGGACTCAAGGGGAAACATCAGTACCCCTGCCGGAAGGCTATTGGAGAGCTAGATTCAGGCTTATGGGTATTTACCTCCACAGAGCCAGATGGTCAAGGACAACCTGAGAGGGGGTCTTGTGGGGTTTCTGTAGCTAAGGAAACTACAGTGGAGCATATTTCAGGTCTACCTTATTTACAGACCATGAGGCATGCTTGCAAGAGACAGGTCATGGCTGGTTTTCCTGATGATTTGTGTCAGTACAGTGTTGTTTATAGATTATTGAAGCTTAAACTAATATACAACTGTTGCTGTTGCCTCCAGTGTACTATAAAGTTTGAAGCATTTGATGCTTTAGTTTGGATATATGTATCTTTCTGTTTGTATATTCAAACCTAATCACCAAGGTGTTAAGTGTTAGGAGACAAAGTCGCCATGAACTAGTTGGGTCTTTGAGGTTCTGCCTAGTGAGTGGGTTGATGGACTTATAAAGCATCTATTCCATCATATAAGGACATAGCATCTGATATGCCATTCTGGAAAGTAGCGGGGCCCTTACCACACACAACTTTCTGCCATCTTGTTCTTAGACATTTGGATTCCATATTTATGTTGTTGACAATTTCCCATTCTAAGATATCCCTCAGAACAGCAAGAAAGATCTAGTATCTTGGCTACTCATCACAAAATGGCTTATAGAATGAGTGTTATTCTATTTTCTTTGGCAAGATTGTGTGATTTGTGTGCAAAAAGTGCAACTTCTAAAGGTACCTTTCTATCATACAAAATTGAAGACTTCAGATAATCCACATAAAAGAAAATTAAATGATCATTTAGTGACATGGATAATGAAGGCTAGGATGATTTTTATCTGGACCAAGTACTTGGGGAGACTTTTTAAAGCTTAAATTTCTTAGAATGCAAATATGGCTATTAGAAAATGGGAATCAACTGCAGTGGCAATGATCACTTAGCTACTTAATTACTTATCTGGATATGCAGGCCCACAAATCAGACATGAGAACTATCAGGAGAACCATCTTTAGATCTGAGTTTTCTTGTCCAGATGAAAACATGCACCTTTTCCAGACCCCATTTTAAGCAATGTTTTAAATCCACTCTTATGTTGAAATTACCCACCCTGAAAACTCTGTCTCCTACAGTTCCTGCATGCCACTTATGATAGATTTACTCAGGATTCTGGATGCTTTCTGAGCTCTCAAGAGTCCAAGATACAGCCCTGAACTGCAGAAACTTTGTGGTGCCAAGCCCAGCACAGTCCAGTACAATTCTCTGCACCCAGAAGCCTTATGGAGTGCCCTTCTACCTTTCTTAACATCCACTTCTCTCAGATGGCCACTAAGTGGCCGTAGAAGGTGCCTTCATGTCCATTTCTCTAGAATAGCCACTAAGTTTGGAAAATGGCCATCATGGACCTTTACATCCGTTTCTCTGCTCTGTAGCCTTGGAAAGTGTCTAGGAACCTTTGCATCCCATAAGCCTCAGTGAGATGTGGTTTCAGAAATAAAACAGGGAAAACAGCACAGGAGTGGTGCAGAAGCTACACAGAACCTGGAGAGACAAGTGAGCAATGGGGTGGACCGCTTGAGCCTCACTTTTTGTTTCTGTCACTTTCTTTGCATCAGTGCAATCACACCAAGGAGAAATTAGCTTCCTCCGAAGAAAAACCACAGATGGTCTCAGTTTACATGGAGTCCTGTCCCGATAAAATCATTACAATTTGAAAGTATCCTGAGTTTAAAAAAAAAAAAAAAGTATGACTACCCCTAACATACTAAATATTCCTTGTGGGTTCTGCCACATCAGATACCAGCTGCTTACCCTAAGGACTGAAGGACTGTTGGGGAGCTGTAGCTCATTGCTGCTACCCAAAATAAGAGAATATGGATCATCTGCTACTAGTTCATAAAAGGATCAAAATTCCTACAGTACAGTTTCTCTTGATGCCCAAGAGCATCCTAAGTCAGGACTGTCTATAGTGAACTTCAAAGCTGCCCTCCCAAGTATGAATCTCTTACCTCATCTTCAGCTTCCAGGTCATTCCCTTACTTAGCATCCCCATTATTTAAAGGAGTACTGAAAGCAAACATACATGAAAACAGTAGCATGATGGTATTGATAGAGTACATGCCTGTACTCTAACCTGACTATACGCTCTCACCTGAGCCCCGTGCGCTTCCTCTGCCTTGTTGCGCTAACCTGCACCTTGCACCAACCTGTGAAGTGGACCTCAGGGCCATCGGTCTAGTCTTAGAGGTCCCCTTGACAAGGGCCATTGAGAGTGAGTGGGAGAACTGGCATTCCAATGTGTCTGCAGTAACCAATAAGCACCCTGGGAATGTAAAACCTCTTTTGTTAGTACATCTTGAAATTGCAGAGGCATGTAGCCTGATGCTGCATTGGAAATGCCCTTCAGCCTGGCATTTGAGGGTGATGGTACCTTCTGAGATAGAATATGGTGAACAGAGAGTAGGATCCCAGGCACTGCAGAATGTTACACAGCTGCCTAGCATGCCCTGCTCCAACTTGATCAGTACCAGTAGCCCTGTAGGAGTGAATGAGAACACCCTGACCACTGATAGTGAGGAAGGAAAGAGCTAACAGCACTCCATGGCCACCAGCTGCCACCACGCCTTTTGGCTTCTGTTCCTATCCTGGAACATGGCTGCTCAATTGGTCTTTTTTGGTTCTACCTACTAGTAGGCAGGGCAATCTCACAAAACTGAAGGCTCAGGTAGCCTTCTGTTGGCTGAAACTCAGCCTTTTCTTCCCATCTCTCTTCTCCTTTGTGGACCCTTCACTGCTGAGCCAACCAGTGACAGCCTTCCAAGTCCCCATGTGACATATTTCCATAATAAAAGCCTAAGAATCACTGTTAACGAGGTCAGATCTGATGCTGTGCAGCCCAGAAGACACTAAAATCAGTACAAGAAGCCAGTCCTCACAGTTAGCTATCCCAACAAGCTCCAAAAGGATAATCAGTCATTATACCATTGGAGAAAGAAACTAAAACTCCTCATTAACATCAAAGGCCAAAGTCAAACCGCAGAGACAACTGACAGAATAAGACCGTAATAAAAGGGACAGCAGTGAGAGATGCTTCTTACCAATCTGGCAGCCAGAGATCGTGTAGTAACAGGAAGTGCTACTGTCCTAAAGTCTGACTGACT